GTATCCGTGTAACGACGGCGGAGTGACTACAGTCGCCAATCGACGAACAGTAATCTGCCAGGAGCGGAGTCGGTCTCTCTTAGAGCGGATAATCGGAATCGGATTCTCCTTCGAGAGCGGTGGATCGGTTCTGATTCTCTTTCGAGAGCGGATGATCGAATCTCCCGATTACGATTACGCGGCATTTTATATACCTCGAATCCCGCTTGATTCGCTATTTACCGCTGTTGTTCGGCGGTCGCGCTGTTTACTGTTTTGGAGGACGCGCTGTCCTCTTGCGCTTTCGGTTCGCGGTGTTCGGCTTGCGTTGTTATTATTACGTAACGATATGCATCGTTACATATATATATGTATATATATATGTATGTATATATATATATATATATATATATATATATATATATATATACAGGGTGTCCCATTTTAAATTACGCACCTGAATATCTCGTCAGGAGAACCATCAATCCGAAAATAACCCTTACAAAAGTTGTTGGGTTCGGAGGAGGACATCGGATGGTGATTTTCAATTTCACCTTGACCTTGACCTTCAAGGTGATTTGAAGGTCAAATCGAATTTTTAAATAGAAACCCCTATTTTTGAGCCCGGATTCGAAAGGAGCGCAAAATTTTACGTTTAGATGGGTACTTAAGGCTCTTCTTTAGAATGACGTTCAGAGGTTATTTCAAGCACAAAACATTTGAAATTACGCACCTGAATACATATCTTGTCGGGGAGCCATCAATCCAAATAACTCTTACAAAAGTTGTTTGGTTCGAAGAGGGACATCGGATGGTGACCTTCAATTCACCTTGACCTTCAAGGTCATTTGAAGGTCAAATCGAGTTTTTTAAATAGAAACTTTAAAGTTATACTAAAAGTCGAAATGATGTTTAAAGATCATTTCAAGGTCGAACCGCTTACAAGTCTAGCATGACCTGAAAACCAAATTGACCTTCTACGGCTGCGTTCCGAAATTCACTAGTTTTCGAGTATACATGCTACGTTCGGAAACACACACTAGTTACGTTCTTTTATTTGCAACAGATGTAGCTGAATGCATCTCGTGGATGCATCAAGATTGCACTTTTTAAGGTTACTAACTAGTGATGTACTGTCCCTAGAAAATAAATTTTCCTATTAGCTATTGGTTCGTCGTATGTCCGTCATCGGGTCCCAATCAGTAATGTATCAGTATTGTTTTTATAAAAATTGTGAAAGAGAGAAAGAGAGAGAGAGAGGCAGTCTAATAATATCAAATAATATAAAAAATGTCATTAATTGAAATCGATTTAGTATATGGAACATGGCCAGTTATTAGAGGATAAAGAGTCCTCAGAGTTAATTTCAGATGCTGCTATTACAAATAAACCTCCAATAACTCCCACATTTGCAGTATCCGTCTATAACTCATTAATAAATTATTTTCCAAATTTTTTACTACAATTATCCCAGCAAACACGAAATATAACTGTTATACAGAGTGTCCGGAAAATCGCCCAAAATATTTCGTGATTCGGAACCCCAAAGAAGGAAAAAAGCTATATAAACAGGTCCGGAAATGTCGTTTCGGAGTTATAGCCACTTTTATGTTAAAAAATCGTAATTTATAGCGTAGCGCACCTTTTTAAATAAAAAAAAATTTTTTTTTTATTTCTTATTTTTCTTAATTTTCAAATTTTATTATTTTTTTAATTAACAATTTTTATTTTTTTAATTTTTTTTAATTTTTTGATATTTGTAAATTTTGAACACCTTATTTAATTCGATATAAATACCTATTTCGATTTAAATACCTATTCATGTTTATGATTGATTTAAAAAATAATGTATTTACAAATATCGGAAAATTGAAAAAAAATTAAAAAAATAATAATTGTTAATTAAAAAAATAATAATCAAAATATTAACATTTATTAATATAAATATAATATTAATTTTAATGCTGCTTTCCGTAATATTCCGGAGTAGTTCCACGCTCAACATCAAGCAATACGGCCTCCGGGAGGGACGGTCTAGCGTGAATGCTATTCTGCGCGTCCGGTCGCTCTCGGAGGCCGTCGTGAGG